GCTGCCTAATAATTATGCACACCTTGATATAGGGTGTTGATCTCCTTAGGCCACAGCCTCCCTCATTACACAAATACACATCACCTGATATACTTATGTCCAATAAGCATTCAGGTTTATACAGCTTGGAGGTGGAAAATATGTATAAAAATGATGATATGGTCAAAATACTCACTTGCCTAATAATTGTGCACACACTGTAACTAGATCTAAACTGTCCACGAATTGAACTAAACAAAATTCTGCAACATTACAGTGTTGATGTTCAGATTCTCTGGCCGATAAGTAGCCCACATCAATTTTGGGGGGCACTGGCCATTTAAAGTAAGATTGCAGAAAGACATCAGATTGGCCAATACTATAATTATAGTATTGTTAAAGTCACCGGCTATTATAATTATAGAGTCTAGGTATTAATATAATAGCAAATTTATGTGTCAAATTGATCCCATAAATTATTTCTCTATGCCCACAAACTGGGGGGAAATATAAATTAACAAGTAAGACAGAGTAGAGTTTAAATCTGAGTTGGAGGGCTAGAGCCATGTTTGAGCAAGACTTCAGCATGAATACTGGGACATTAAGTTTAACAGAAACCATAGAACACAGGCCATCTGATGGTTTGCCCTTTTTTGTACTGGGTACTGCATTCAAAGTAAAGGGAATATATCCAGGTATTGATAGATCCTCTATAGCCCATGTTTCCTGAAACAAAAGAATATCAGAGGAAGAAATATATTCCATAAATGAAACATCTGACATATTTGCTTTCCAGCCTGCAACATTCCAGGAAAGGATAGAGATATCCACTTCGGCAGGATAGAGTCATTCAGAGTCTAAGGGAACTGTCAGTGAATTAGCTGTACATACAGAGTCAGTCTTCTGGAATGGGGCCAGAGTTGGAATTTCATCTAGTGTTGCTGTTGTAACACCACCTGAGTTTGGGGGGTACCTTCCAGTTGGATGATTTTAAAACTTCCAGTAGCAGTATCCAGATTTAAATTGTGGGGAGGAAGATTAATAGACTCCTATGGGTGTAATAAAAAGCCATCATGTGAAAAAGGTCTAAAGTCCAAAGAGCGTTGTTCAGCATCCTCAATAGTTAACAAAGTCTGACACTCTCCAGCAGGCTCCCCATTTGTCCCATAAGGACTAGAACAAATATTATTTGGAGGGTGATTTCCATCCATTCCATTATCCACCAAAAAACAGCAATTAGTGTCAGTATTTGGAGACATAGGTTCAGTAAGTGGCTCTGCTGTAGCAGTAGTGACCAGCAAGGTTTTCTTAAGATTTTCCAGCTTATTATATTATCATGTTCATTCCTGGGCAGAGAACCAAAGGCACTGATAAGGCCAGCTTCAGCTGGATCTGACACATCTTCATTTAGTAAGAATAACTGCCTTGCCATGAGGGGGAGAGGAAGGCTTGCTGGTATCTGTTAAAGTGTTGGAGTGGGTATGAAGTCTAGATGAGGCAAAGCCAGATTAACTTTTACATCACAGAAGACTGATGGGGAAAATTTAAAAAGTTGCTAAGTATGGTATCATCTTAAATAGCATTAGTGGGATAGTAGATTGATTGAAAGATAACAAAATCTGTTTTCAGTTTTGAATAGTAGGAAGCCATTCAGTGGCACATAAATCTGTCTGTATTGACAGTGAAGAAGTTGTCCTAGAGAAGTTTTAATTGCTCTCCTAGAATCCTGGTGTCCAGTATTGAGACTGATCAGGGAGATACAGAGAACAACCTGCTGTGTCAGAAGTGAATGGTTTAACTTGCAGGGAGTTTCCCCTTTTGCATCCAGAGAGGCATTAGTATGTATAAGACCACCACTCTTTACCTTGTCAGAAAGTAGGGATTTATTAATACAATTATGTATCCTTAAATTCTTCATCCCCATTACCAATCTTAAAAGGAAAAAGGTGGGAAAGGAATTGTTGTATGTAGCTCCGTTTTCACTTATTGAAGGTGTGGAGGTTGGGTGATAAGGGGTAGGGTCAGCTGGTATACAAAAATGGCATTGAAATGGCATTCTTTTTCTCAGTCATGTTAATCACATGAAAGGGAGTATGTAAATAGGGCTACACTATGTCTTCTGTTCAGATGAACATTAATAAAACAGAAGAACCTTTACTTTTGAATACCTAGAAAGCAAGTTTAGTTACTTCGTATTTGGCCCTATACTTTATTTTTTCTTTCTTTATTGTATCATATACAGGTCCTCGGCACAGGGAAAACCTATGTTTTTATTGCTTTAGTTCAGAGAAGGAAGCAAAAAGAAAAAAATATACAAAAGTATAGTGGTACCTCGGGATACGAACGCCTCTACTAACGAACTTTTCGGGTTACGACCAGCTCCGGCCACAAAAAAT